AGTACGACCCTGTAAGACTTTCATTTAGAATACGCCAACATCTGCAGTTTCTTGAAACTAGTAAGTATTGTAAATGTATAAATAAAATTATATTTTAATATTTATCACAATTATTAAAAGTACAATTTACATTTTAGGAGGTGGTAGTATACCCAAAAATCCCATAGATTTGTCCTTTTGGGTCGCACAAAACATCTTAATGGATCACAATGAAAGACTCATGTTGTTATCTTATGACTGTGCTATTTCTCGATTACAAAGAGAAATAAAGTATCTTGTAGAGGTATATATATATATAATAGTATTATATTATTGTATATATAATAATTAGAGTATGTGTGCATTTTTTATATATCACTTTTAATATTAACATCTTTGGTTTGAAGGATAAGATATATGTATGCGTTAATTGTGAAACCTTTATTGGGAGGCAGTCACATATGTTCCCAATGAATAAAGAAGGTCCACAGGCTACTTATGTCAATCCTGGTGGTATTATACATGAAACCATAACTTTTTATCATGTTCAAGGAGTTGTACTTAGTGATTCAGATCCTTCAACTGATTATAGCTGGTTTCCAGGGTAAAATACGACACTGTAGTATATTATAAATCATGTGCGAATTTTATTTTCTCTTTAATAACAGTAATAACTATCATTTTAGATATGCATGGACAATAGCTATCTGTAAAGGTTGTCGTCATCACGTTGGTTGGAAGTTCACAGCAGTTCAGAGTAATTTAAGGCCCAAAGAATTTTGGGGATTAACACGCAAAAGTTTAAAAAATAAAGATTTAAAAGTTAAGAAGAAGAAATAAACAGAGGTTTAAACATTAATATATATTAAGCATTGTAACTGTTTTAGTAGTTATTAGATGGATATTCTTCAAAGCCGTACGTCATATTTATATATTATATTACAGTTGCGCAATATGTTATTTTATATATCGATACAATATACATATTATTTTCAAAACGAAAGATAAACGATAATTGATTGTAAACTAAAATATTATATTTTATAAAGATTGTGATTTTTTGTTTATGAGTCTTCGCGACTCGAGAAAGTTATATACTTAAACACAGTTTTATAAAGGCAAAGATAAATAAAGAATGTTTAAAAGATGATATAATGTGAAATAGTAGCAACACATACACGCGCGCGTACATCTAGAGAGGTTGCGTTTGACAGAGAAAACTGTTAAGTTAGCGTTTAGTGATTCTTTAATATGATTGATTCCTATACTCTTTCTCTCTCTTAGATTCAGCAAAGAATTAAAGGCAAGAACCAATCATATTAAAGAATCACTAAGCACTAATTGACTAGTTTTCATTGCTGAACGTAACCATTTACATTTGTTCAATTTAATCTATATGTGTATTTATATGTGTATATATACTACTCAACAAAATTAAAACATCACTTGTTCCACCCTGCAAAAATAGACGAACTTTGAGATAGAATAAGTTTAAGAAAGCATTTTAAAGTGTGAAATTTGCCTGTTGTTTTTCAATAAAATGAGTCATTTAATATCAGCAAAAAGGGTCATTTTTACTTCAATATTAAATAACTCTGTGAAAAAAAATCATACAAAGGTCGGAAAAAAAGCAAATTAAATGTAAGAATTCAGTCTTTCAAAAGCTGTAAACAGCATTTATGCACGATTTTTGATTCGTTTTATGCAACCTCACAAATTTCGTATAAAATTTTAAGATAGATGCATTTTCATTTTTGTTTGTGTAACTTTATAAAATATCGGCAAGACCGTTTCTTAAATAATTGTTCTGAAAAGTAGAGATTTCAAGCTTTAAAATGCTTTTTTAAACATCTTGATACGATAATTTTTGACGAAGTTATTTTATCTTGAAATTTATCTATTTTTGCAGGATGGAACAGGTGATGCTTTAATTTTGTTGAGTAGTGTGTACATATATAAAGCCAAATCTTAACTTAAATTTTTATTCTATCATCAGTACATGTGCAATATCTCCATTGTATGCAGATTTTCATTCTATTCATGGTCAAGTAGTAAATGTATTATAGAAAAAAGTAACAGAAAAAGATACTATACGAATAGAGAAATTAAAAGTATTAAGAATGTAAAGATAAGGGTAAGAACATTTTTATTATATTATTTTCTAATTATAAATAATTATTATACATTATTATTTGGACATATTTTTTTCTGAAAATTCTCTTAAAAACTTATTTAACATATTAATATGAAAAAAAAAACATTTGCTACACTTTTAATGTATAAATTGTATATGATTTATTTGTAATCTAATTAGCTACACACTTGAACAACAGGGTTATTTATAAAAAACTTTATGTATATACACAGAATAATTGTTGTATTAATAATGATATGAGTTAAGTTATTATTAGATGAGTGTAAAAATTCGTGTTTGATTTATTAAAATTTATAAGTTTCTGTGAATTTGATAATTGTTACATATAGAAAACTAAGAGCTGTACAAAATGGGAAAGTTTTTTCTTATTTTCTAGACCTGCTACGTGTCCAAAAAATTTGCAAAAATTTTTGATGTTTTAACATGAAAATTTGAAGTGCGTAAAGTTTTTTTTTCTATAAAATCATTTTCTTAAATTATTCTCAATAACCAATTTTCTTACTTCTAAGTTGCCGATAATTATCTATAGGATGTATTTTAGATATCTCTCAGACATGTCATTTATTCATAAATATTTGGCAAGATGAGGAGTGGAAGTTATTTTCACCATAATATCTAAAATATATCTGCTGTGTTATATTAGAAAGAGACAGCTTGACTCACACCGGTCGCTATCTCTTTCTTTCGGGCCGATCATGTTCTTTCGGCCTGTACGCAGTCCATACTATATGTCGATGGTTCGGCTCCTTGATCATCGTTTTCGTTTTTGTTTTCATACATCATCGGCACTTTCTCAAATTACATTAAATACAAATACAATTACGAAGTTAGGTTCTCAATACCAAAATACATTACTCACATACAATTTTAATTACTTTTTTAATTTTCATATATCGAAATTATTTACAACTTTCATTACTATTATTAATGATAATGAATTATTCTGTATATTATACACAAAAGGATTTTCATACAATTCATAACAAGTTTCTATAACTTTAGCTCATCCATATTAGTTATTCCTATAATTTCATGCTCGCAAATTACTTACCTACATTCTTACATTTTAAGTTCTATCAATTTTAAACCCTTTTCTAATTTCGTCAATTCTTCATTTATTTCATTACATAACTGTGCTATACCGGTTCCTTTTCTTTTTTTCATAATCTTCGTCCTTTAACCTTTTCTTTGCCTACTTCCGAATACCAGTTTCGTTTTACATTCCCGTTGTTCTTTGTTTTTTTCCTTATATTTCTTTTATTGAAGCTTAATAATTAGCCATAAGTTAGTCTTATTTCTGACTGCCTATTTAAATTTCTCTCGTTTTGATGACGTCTACTTGGAGACAATTCTTATTGGTCACTTCTTTGTCACGTGATTTCTAGGATGCACAATAACATACCCTTGTATTTATATAATGATTTTTATGTATGATTTCAAACTTGGTTCTTTGCATGCACCAATCAAAAAATTGAAAATAGTTACGTAGTCGGGCAGACGATCGATAGCATCTTCAGAATAGAAACAATTGTGCTAATTTCGTAGCTATTTGTCAAACGTCAGATTTCAAGCTAAAAAATGTACTTTTTGTACTTCATTATTTACTCGTTTTAAAGCTTCGTTGCATAAGTGTTTACTGTGATAATTCGGATTTTTAATATAATGTAGCATATAATGTAGGTTCGTTTTTATACGCCTCTATTAATGCTATTATTTATTATATATATCTTTATTCTACATTTTAGTTTGAAATCTGACGTTTGACAGATAGCAACGAAATTAGCACAATTGTTTCTATTCTGAAGATGCTGCCGATCGTTTGCCTAATTACGTGATCATTTTCAATCTTTTGATTGGTGCATGCAAGGAAACAAGCTTGAAAATCATACATAAAAATCATGTACAGAAATCATGGATAATGGAATTGTGGAAATGTGATGTGTTTCATACTTATGAAAACCATAAAAATGAACAAACTGAAGTTATTTTAGAATTTTGTACGTAAAAGCGTATTTTTTCTTCATTTTATCAATTTGTTAAACCATGTATTTCCTGCCCGTATAGTCTCACTTCACGTGCCTTTTACGACCATTTACTGACTATCAAGAGAGAAAAAGACAGTTTTCGTACATTTTTAAACGTTTTAAAGCGATCTTATCGTTTCAATTTATTTAAATTATATTTATTTTATAATTACAAATGGCACATAACATAAATTAATGTGTCATTTCTTGCTTCTAATGTCACGATTCCAACATGGTCACAGCCAATTACATGAAAAAAATCCTATAACACAAAATAAAATGCAATAAAAAGATTCAATTTTACTTCATAATTGTGATTATTGTACTATGCATCTAACAGAACAGAATACTTTTCGATACATTTATGGCTATCTTATGCATGTGTTGATAAACATTCTTTTAATATTTGCTTAACATACGCAAAACAATATATTGATTTAGATAATATCTCATATTATTGCTTTTTTCAAACATATAATTTTACTAAAGGCAATCTCTATGATAGCGTATTAATGCCAAATGATGAATTTATTGAATATGTTAAAAAGATAGTCTGCTATTTTAGCATTTAATATTTAATAGTATAAGAAAAATTTCTAATATTAGGGCATTAGAAGATTCATGTATACATATAACATATAACATTCTATAGTATTTCTATAGTATTTCTTCTTATTCTACGTATAACATTCTATAGAATTACTAACAAAATTATTTAGTTCTCGGTTTAATAATGTTAATATAAAATAACTTGTTTACTATAAATAATTACAAACTCTTATTGGACATAAAAATTTCATTTAACATAAATATACATTTTTTTACTTGAATAAAGCAGTTTGTTGATGTTGATGCAATTATAATTGTCTTATTTATCAAGTGTTTGTATATAACATACACATATGTATATACTATATTAATTCTTGTTTAATATTTATGTGGTCTAAATGGATGATTTGGATCAAACAATTTTGGATCTTTAACATATTCTGGTTCTTTTGTCCAGTAACCCATTAAACCTGAAATATAAAAAAATTAATGTTTATAATTATAATTTGATACACAAATTTTTTTTTTATGTCCTTGAATTAAAAACAAAATATAACAATAAGTTTTGAATGCCATTAAGATCCAACTGGATATTTGTGTGTAAATTAATTTGTCATATATGACATTAGTTGCATTCAACAGAACGTTTTCCAACAGCTGTTGGAAGTTATCTTTGCGCTAATTAGATCACATTTTTAGATTTAGAGGAACAATCCTATCTCAGCAGACAGATTATGAAACAGTTACAAAACTATTATGTTTTGTTGAACACAGTCATTAATAACAACATATATGTTCAATTCAAAATTTTTGGTCCTCTTCGATACATAATAATTATCTTAATCAAAAACTTAATTTACTTATTCATGATACCTAATAAACTTAGTCAAACTATTGGTCTGAATTAATAAATTAAATAACATTCATAATAAAATTTTTGCAATCAAAAGTTTAATAATATGTTAGTTTTATCTTTAAGAAAACACATGAGCGCTTGCATATAGTTTGTCTAAAACAGCGTGTCATCAAATCGCTAAGTTTACTAAATAATAACACAATATTACAACAATAAATGAAAAAAGAATCATAAAGAAACTTACTGAAATAAAATAGTTGTGTTATTAATATATTTTTAAGGTACTATCAGCTCACAAGGTATATGTCTAGGCTATATTCCAAAATGTTTTCTCCAAGGAAAATTTTACTCAAAATATATAGTTCATGTAATGTATACTATATTATAATTAAAATTGTACTCAAAGAGGATGTTTTGGAAGCCTTAATAAAGTTAGTCATGTAATAAAAGAACTTAAAAAACATATATGTACTCATATATACCTGCACTTTGAGCTTTTGCAATTTCTTGTTCCAATCTCATCTGTTTGTGTTTACATAATCCAGTTATGTGTCTTCCATATATCCTGCCTGTATATCGACTTTGAAATTGTGAAAGTAACCTTACATTTTTATAATCTAGTTCAATGGCTAATTTGCAAAGAATACACTTCCGTTTTTCTTTTACATAGGGATTTTCAATTTGGATTGGCTATAAATATAAAAGAAATATAAATGTCATATGTAACAAGTATAAAAACAGACAAGGATAAATATACTATAATATATGCAATAAACTTTTTACTGAAACATATTTCTACTTATAAATACATAAAATCATAACTTATTTTAATTTTCAATTTAAAATGTACTAAAAATCTATAACTAATCTTATGTAATAAATTGTTAATTGTCAATATGCACCCTTACCATGTCATTTTCTTCCATTACATTTATGTTTATAGATTTATCGGAGGAACTTTTACTGATAGTTCGAAAATATGATTTACCAGTAAACGTCATTGCAACTCTTTGCAAAGCAGGTACAGAAATCATTTTGTGATAATTCAAAACCTATTTATTTATATATATATATATATGTAGCTCCTTTAATCACTTTCCGAATTTAAGCTTTGACTATTCACTATGTAGTATGGATTGCCAGTAACTAACTTCGCACTGCTTCGCACGTGTCAAATGAGTCAAGCCAAACAGTGGCGACACCATTAAAGCTATCCACACAACTTGCATAGCTGCATAAACGCATGCATAAAGAAAATTAAAGCGGGGAGCACAGACTTTTGCATAAAGCGGGGAGCACAGACTTTTGCATAACGCATAAAGCATGTGCATAAGGAATTTCATTGGTCCATTTTCTTATGCATGAGTCAATGGACCAATCAAATTCTTTATGTATATGGTTTATGCGTTATGCAAAAGTCTGGATACGAGCGCGATTGTGGCAAAATGCTACGAGAGAGAAAGATATATACACTATCTTCGTCTATTAATTCTAACCATTCTAATCTTAATGTAATGTATATATTTGTATATTCTCTTTCATTTAAGTTAACAGCGTAAAAAAAATATTAAATCATCGATGTCGATGTATTAAATATTAAAAATAATAACATTAAATAAATATTTATAGTAAAAATGGGTGGCTGCGCTGCTCCGTATTGTAATAATTCAGCTGTCAAAGGATATGCAATGAAAAGATTTCCTAAAAATCCTGAACGACGAGTTATATGGGTAAAAAATGTTAACCGAGAAGATTGCGGGTACCGACAAACAATTCAGTTCTTTGTGAAGTTAGTTAATATTCGTTAAAAAAATAAAAATGTTCTAAAAGTTTATTACATTTCTATCCTACATGAATCTATAAGGTTATCGACGTTTGAATTGGAGCAGGAGTTACCACAAACGACGGACCAATCAGAAATTGTCTCTCTCGTGTCCAGACTCTGGTATAGGGTCTCTACTTTTGCATAACGCATAAACCATTATACATAAAGAATTTGATTGGTCCATTGATTCATGCATAAGAAAATGGGCCAATGAAATTCCTTATGCATATGCTTTATGCGTTATGCAAAAGTGTGTGTTGGGGCTCTTATCCAATCGCATTTCCCTTAGGCCTATCGCACATGAAATGCATAACTGTGCATAAGCATAACATAAGGCCGCTGGACCAATGAGCATCTTATGTTAATCAATATGGCGTCTTTATGCTGGATGCTCATTGGTCCAGCGGCCTTATGTTATGCTTATGCACAGTTATGCATTTCATGTGCGATAGGCCTTAGAGATGCACGTAAAATGTGATTGGCTAATTTTCATTATGCATACGTTTATGCAGCTTAGAGTCCTAGATATCAGAGAAGCGCAACCGATGTTCCGCGTTCTGATTAGCTGACTGTCAGCCAATCATGACATTCATTCAGTGGTATTAAAAATGGCTGACTAATAGACGATTGGTGGATTTCATATTTCGTCTGCAAACGACGCCATTTTTAATACTTTTCTTAGTAATTTTGCGATACTGACTTAAACCGGTTGCGCTTCTCTGATATCTAGGACTCTAATGCAGCTATGCAAATTATGTGGATATAATTCTTAATTCCAGCAATGTATTTAAAGAATAATAATGTACTAAAGTGGTACAATGTATGCATCAGAATAATTAATTAAATACTCATATCATATATATGTCACATGTGTCACTGAAATTAAGTAACTCAATAGAAAGTTACTAGTTAGCACTCCTATCTATTGGCGGCAAAGTAAATGGCAAGTGGCAACCCTTTTGTGTCACTTCTGCAGTCTCGCTTGTGCCACTTGGTTTGGTGTCACTCACTCTTCCGCGGGTTTCCGGTTGACGAGAGTCACATATTTCGTAACAGGTGCTGTATCAAACCGTACTTTCATAAACGAGCGAAAAAAGAAATTTCTTGCTTACGATCTAATCTAACTAGTCAAACTGAACAAATGCTTTTCTCAGGTGCAAGTGCGAGTTGCGGGAGTCACAATGTTATCCTGGATGCAAGAAGCAGCGAAAATGAATCCATTTTCGTCACCGTTCACAACGGTCAAGTGCCAGACATTGGAGAATGGTGCTCGACCGCTTGTTCCGAATCGAAATATCGTTGCTGCTTCCACCCAGGAAGGTGGTGAGTAATATTAACTCTCAAAATCCTTTTCAACTTCACTACGAATAAAACGAACAATTCTTCTCAATTGAGAGGTTATACAGTTTTCACGTGATTTCACGATATCCAACACCATGTGGAGTGATTTTGGTTGTCACGAGAATAGTTGAAACTATTGATGTCCCAAGGATTTTCTGCTCTTATTATTTATAAGATGATCCGTTTATGTGATAAAACACGCCATTTTTTTATCTGACAGCAGCGTTACATAACCCAAAGTATGTTTCAACGTCATCTGATCTGAAGCACGATTGAATGTCGTTCCATTGTCAAATCCCTGTTTGAAGGTCGCTCGATTGCTCTTCTATAGTCTCAAAAACTTTTGTTTCATTTGTTTGATTTTTAAATTATTGTGATGCAATTTAAAACAACTTCAATCTCTTCAATCAAAATTCCAATTTAATTAATCTACTTTTATCAATTAATATAGATTAACTTTAATTGATGTATAATTTACTATATGTTAAGAAAAACTATCCTAACTAGTTTCTATATTCACTTCAAGTAGTCGTATTTAATTTTAAACAATATCAAGTTTATTTTAACCGACTTTAATACAATATCTTTAAACAATTAATTAATGTTAAAATAAACGATTTCTATCACACATATTTTGCATACCACTCTGAATAAGAATATAGAATTACTAACTAAATCTGATCACACATTTACAAAAATAAACAATCTGTTACCTCAATTATCCATTTATCGCTCTAGATCTTACATATTAATTAGTAAAAATATTACAAATATCGTTCAGCGATGATGAGCTCACCATGGTCGCAAGAAGAGAAGGATCGAAACAAAAACTATGCGAATATAAACATTCTACTGTTTTAATCTCGAATATCTCTTTGTTCCTGTTTTATCACCAACTTATTAATTCAAATAACTCTAAATCTAGTCACTTAAATTCTAGTTATTGAAACTCTAATCATTTAGAATAAATCTAGTCACTTTAAATAACCCTAGCTTTACATACTTTTTATTTCTATACTTGATACACATTTAGGTCCTTGGGATCCCATTTACATTTGTTATCATAACTTTTGTAAAAATAGATATATTTTAATTTAATCTTTTTTTAGTCGATGGAGAATTGATTAAGGAACAAGTCTATAGTATGTAAAAGTTGATAGAATTAAGGATCTTTGAGATATGTAAATTCAAAGGAAAAGAAAAGATCTCGATGTGTAGCAAGTTGCATTAGAATTTCTATATAGCTTCAGTGTGTATAGCTAGAGGTAAATTTCTGTTCTTATGTTATCTAGTTATATACACTGGTAGAATCACAGAAACGCCAATACAGCTTGAATCAAGATTTTCTTGCGTTTTTTTTTAACCTATATATATTTGGAAGCTCCTTATTTCTATTAACTTTTATACATTATGGACTTGTTCCAATCAATTCTCCATTGATTAAAGAAAAATTAATTGAAATATGTTTTTTATTATTTTTACAGAAGTATGGTCCAAATATGGATGATGGTCCCAAGGATCCGAGAGTGTATATTAAGGATAGAAAGAAAGTGTATTAAAATAGCTAAGGTTAAAAAAAAATATTACAAATTACATAACCTATATGTGAGAAATTTCATATTTCGCGTAGCAAGAAAATTCGATTTAAATTCATGGATGTCATGGATTGCACAAGATGTGGCTATTGGATTATCAGCGCTTTATAAAATATAATTCACTTGGACAACGCGAAAAGGTTGAATAGAAATAATTTGGTCGGTTGTCGCGCCCTTGTATGTCAACTGAAAACCATATCAAAGCATACGGATGCTTAATTCTTTATAGAATTACAGATGAAACAAGCAAAGTAAAAGAGACAAATTCAGTTAAACTTTGAATCCACGCCAAGGAAAGTGATCAATCAGCTGATCGAAAAAAACCCTTGAAATGCTTACAAACATTTCGATATATTTAGAAGCGATATTGTTAAATCTTGAAATATAAAAATTTATAACTTTTTTGTTTAAACAAATTTGAAAATAACATAATAGAAAGATATAATAAAGAATAAAGAAAATAGAAGAATTCTGCAATAAAAATTAGATATTTTTATTTAAAAAGATATTTTTAGATACTTTTTTACGGAAAATAAAAATGTATTTATAATTATACAATTATTATGCATTTAAAAAACAATTTATTACATTTTGTTTTAAAGTTTAATATCATATATATAATTTGCCTAGATCAAGTCCAAGTTTTCTTTTATATTAAACTTAGGTGTGAAAAATTTAAATTTACTACAATGAATATTTAATGACATAATAACGGGATTGCACAAACGAAATATTGATATAAATATATCATATAATAGGTGTATCTTAAATTATATGTAATAGAAAAGAGAATTCTTTTTTTTAATTATAAAAAGTATAGATAGAAGTATATACTTAATAACTTTATAGTTTATATCGAATTTAGCTAAACGTACTGCTGAAATGAAATATTAATGAAAGTCTGCTTATGGATCCATGAATTATATTGCCAGAGCTCTACTGTTGAGTTTTCCGAAAAATACATAGAATAATTAAAAATCAATACGATGTTGTTTCGTGTATTTCCAGATAGTTGCGAATTTGGATCGAATCATTATTTCCTATTATGTGGGCTCGGAGGCATTTTATCCTGTGGCATCACTCACACCGGTATCACTCCCTTAGATTTAGTCAAATGTCGAATTCAAGTGGACCCACAAAAATACAAATCAGTGTTCAATGGATTCCGAGTAACTATTTTTACCAATTATTCACTCTTTTATGTGGATATAATATAATATTGTATAATATATTTAAGATAATAGTATTTATTGTGAATCTACGTATTACAGGTAACTTTCGCCGAAGATGGCACTCGTGGATTGGTGAGAGGCTGGGCGCCTACTTTCTTTGGCTACTCGATCCAG